ATTAAAATTTTATATAAATATAATATATAAAATTGATATAAAAATAAACCGTATTCTTATTTTATATATCAAGTTGTATTGACAAGAGTTAGATTAGTAAATAGAGAAGGACTTTCAATATTAAAACCTCTATCATGCAGTCAAATAAATAAAGATTTTTAATGAACAATCAGTTTGATCCAGTAGTATGAAATCAGAGTGTACCTTATAGATTTTTTTTATTTATTTAATATATATAATTAATTTTAATTTGATCAAAAAATAAAAATTTTAGAAGATTTATCTTATTTAATAATTATAATTATATAATTAAATACCATTTAAATTATATTATATTTTTTAAAAATTTATTTTAAAGTGGAGACTGGACTATTCTTGTTTTTCTTATTTAATCTGAGAGAGAACATCCGTGCGCAAGTTGTTGGGTCGTTGCTGTTAAATGACGATATTGCCCTTGAGAGTGATGGGAATCGACTCCACCTTCCAACCAAGCACCTGAGGATTGGTTCGTTAGCCCCTGAACTTGGTTCGTTTCCTCAAATTTGTCCTTGAATTTACTAATTAAGTTCATGTGGCATTTATTATGATTATTTTTTTTATTGGATATCATGGTTGAATTGAGGCTGAGTAACAAAAAAGTCAAGTGATATTATTACTAGATATTAGCTTGACTAAACTCTTAAGGTTTGTTTTGTTATTCTAGATTTCAATAGAAAAAAAATTTGAAATAACCAACTAAATAAACAAGTTAACTTAATTAAGAAAAATAAATTTTTGATGCAAAAATCGAGGTGCAATTTAATTAATTATAATAAATTGTGTAAGAAAGTATATGCTCATATAATTTTTTTTTTTTTTTTTGAACATAGGGGAATTTTGGGGGAGGGGGATTAGAACCAAGGTCATAGCCTTGGAATATACACACCCTATCCACTGCATCAAGTGCTGCGGGTGTGTGTATATGCTCATATAATTGATTACAATAAATATATAATTGATTATAATTACTTTCCAATCCAAAAATCCTAGAAAACGGTTTTCCAATAAAGTTTGCATATAATCATTTACAATTCATTATAATTAATTACGTTGCATCTAAATTTTTGTATTAAAATATTTATTTTCCTTAGCCAAGTTGATTTGTTCATTTTATCAAGTACCCCGAATTGTTTTTCTAAAATCCAAGGTAACCAAACAGCCCCTATTGATAAATTTTTTTAAAAGTTTGAGAAATCTCAAATACAAATTACACGAATCTAAGAAATGCCACTCTAACTTGTTACTAACTTTGATCTTAAGTAGACACATAGTTTAGGAGCTTACTAGTCAGAAAATAAGTTCAAGGGAGAAATTGAGAAAAAGTACAAAGTTTTTAGGTTTGCTTATCATATTCATTTTTCTGTTTTTTTTTTCCTTCTCCAGTTATATTTTTTTATTTTTTTATTTTTTTATTTTTTATATCTTTTATTTATTCTTATACTTCTTCTCTGTTTAGACATATCATTTGGTTGCTTTATTAATTATTATAACATTAAATGGTGAAATTAATAAATAAATTTTTTATTTTACATATATTTTTTTAGCAGCCCGTTAGGGATGTATCATGGATTAGATAATTTATATTTCATGACTCTATGATAAAATTTAGATGACAAAATTAGTAAGAAAATTACATTCAATTACGTAATCCAAGATAACTACAGCCCTACGCGTCTCCCTGACAATAACAATTTTGAATAGTTTCTGTTTTGATGGTGAGAGATGTTTTTTGGGGACCAAATTTAAGCAAAGTACGACGACGTGCTAAAATGGAAAGAGAAGTGGATTGGGAATTGGAGTTTTGTAACCGTTGTTACATTGTTAGCTAGCACATGTGATAGGGCACCCCACCAAAGTTGTCCTTTGCTTCTACACTACATGTGACTTTGAGTGAGAGTCCAAAAGAAAATGATTCCAAGTTTCCAACACCATTAAAAACCAAACTGCTTAATTTAATATGCAAAAACTATTTTTCAATTTAAATTATACAAACTTGTAAAATAAAGGTTTAACAATGAAGAGTGAACTATTTAGTATTGCAAGATAATTTTGACTTGACTATCCATCCATTGAGGATATTAGTGAACTCTTTCTCAATATTGGGGATCATCTATCTATCGAATAATTTTTGTTTTATAATCAGATATAATATAAACTTCAAAAAAAGAGACTTTTTAATAAATCATTTACTAATTTACAACTTTTTCTCTTTTAGTTTATAATATTTATTTTCTCTCAAAATCATTTATTAACTTTCAAAATTATATTAATTTTGTCTATCTAACACAACTTCGTTAAATAAAATAATTGAAATCCATGTCATCGCTTGTGTCATGTCATGTAAATTGTCATACAAGCAACACATGGCCTGAAAATAATTAATAAATAATTAAATTATAATCTAATCTAATTAAACAAAAAAATGAAAATAAAATTATTAAGGCCATGTGTTTCTAGCTTATGGAGCACCATGTAACCGATGATGTGGACTTCTAGTAATCTTATTAATGAAATTGTGATAGGTAGATTCATTGATATAATTTTAAAAGTTAATAAATGACTTTAAAAGAAAATAAAATTATAGACTAAACTATCCACCCATCCATCAACATCAATCCCCAAATTTCTCCCTAAACCTAATTGTATTATTTCATGATTTAATTAGGTGATCACCAAATTTCTCGATCTACTAAGAATGAAATCAAGAGATTCAACCACTAAGAAGTCAAGTTTAAATTTTAGAATTAACTCACAAGCGTTGTACAAAAGAGATGTGATAGTAGAGAGTGGAGCTCAAACTTGAATTCAAATATTGTAGTTAAAAAAAAGTCAAGTTTGGATTAAAGTTGTAATCGACTAATTTGTTATTGAGCAGAGCTAAAGCTTGAAAAATAGGCCCCAAATCGAGCTTAGCATGAGTAATAAACCTGCAAAAGGAGATTAGTTGACATCAAATTTGGCTTGACCAGAAAAAAAGAGTTCTACTATATGGGTGTTTAGAATTCAAAGAAGTACACCATAATATATATATATTTTTTATTAATTTCTTAATACCTGGTAATTACATTAAATTCTAATTAGTTTAAAATTGAGCTACCTCAAATCTTATAATGGGATAAGCTCTCCTAACACTTATTTTTTTTATTTATAATACTCAAATTCGAAATTTTATTTAAAAGAAATCGATTTTCTTCAACTTGAACCAACAGATCATTAGTGAAGCACACCATAATTAAGTGGGGATGGATGACTATAAAAGAATACTAAGGTTGGAGGGAAAGTTCACTACAATACATAAATTAAATGTTTTAAAGCTGGATGCAATAGACCGCAAAGTGCAAAGCTTTCCTATATTATTAAATTAATGATGCTCTATTGATTTAATCTTTATTTAACATTCCTAACCGCGGCAAATTGAGATCTCCTGTCTTTCTAATCACATTAATTTTTTATTTTTTATTTACTTCCATCCATGTGACAGCTCTTTATTAATTGATTGGTCATTCCAATATCAATAAATGAAGGTCCAAATCCACGCGTCTCTTGTCCAAAGAGTTCATTTTCTAAAATTAATATTGTATGTATCAAATTGATATAGAAGGATACATCTTTAAAATTATTTTTTTATATAAATATTTTTAAAATTATTTGAAAATAAATTAATTGTTGTTTGAAGATGAGTTAATTCTAAAATATATGTTAGTTGACTCGAGAATATCTTACTACCTACAAAAGTGAACATGTTAGTGTTCTTATTATATGAATGACTTCATTTTATATACAACCAAAAAAAGGAAGGCATCTAGCCTATTGGTCTGGTAACTTTGCCACCTCAACAGGTGCACCCTTAATTTCTTGGATTGGATTCAATTTCTCCCATCTTAATTTGTAATTTATTTTTAAAAAATAAAAAATAAAAAAATAAAAAGAAATGCAAAAAAGGAAGGAAGGATTATGCATTCTGCATAGCATTACCACAGCAATTCTCGGCTTCCATCTTATGCCGTGTGTGTGTATATATACATATATATATATATATATATATATTTTTACCTTGGGAAATTTGGGGTAAAGGGAGTATGACCTGAGTTAGAATCCACATCTCTAGCGTCTTAACACTTTCCCGTAAGGGTAGTCAGTAGGCCATTTAGTGTCGGATTATGTCGTATACTTTAGATGGGTCAGTGAACTGAAAATGACCCTCAATTAGGCAGTCTCTGAAACAGGGGGAAAAGACAAAGGTTGCTGCCCTGACAAATTACAGTCAGGCAATGTGACCAAAGGGCTGAGGTTATGGGCCTTATGGCCACCGCAGTTTTGTTAATGTAATTAATTTTATCATAATTTTATTAGTTTATACTTTTTTAAATAATTAATTATAATATTTAAAAATGTTTATTTATAAATTAGTTTTAATTTATTAAATAATGAATATTAATGATCTTATTAACTATTAATTATATTTAATAACTATATTAGTATAAAAATTTATTAACTTTAATAACCCTACAAAAATAATAATAGCATAATCATCTCCCCCACAAAAAGGGCTAGACATTTAGCCAAATCCATCCTCAATAATCCCATCTTTTTTGTCTGCTTTACATTTTTTCAAGATTTGATGAATCATGGGTCATCATCTTCTTCTTGATTTTGCTGCACTCCTCATCTCAACTACCATGAAAATTTGGTGACTTGGTGGTGTCAAATCACGGTTTCATGGATTAGATCTTCTGCTTTGGAATATTTTGGTCTATTAGTTTCCAAACTGGGCCTAGACCGCAATTGATATAGTTTGTGTGCTAAAAAAGAGTGAGGCCCATGGCTCTGAAAGCCTATCTAATCTGATGAAATTTTATACTAAGCCCAATTCTTGAACCATATGAAGCCCATCTCACCTAAATATAGTTTACAATAAGCCCAGTTTCAGAACCATATGAACATCTGATCTGACCCTTTTTCTTTTTCTTTTCCTTTTTTTTTTTT